AGGTCTTAGATCAGTGTTAATAGCCTCTCTCTGAAATCACACATTATAGCTCATCTGTATTTGCAGTTCATGTGTTATGGTTTTTATATATATATACAATGTTTACACATTAAATCTACTCCAGACCCTCTAATAATAAAAATTAGCATTTACTAGCACTTTTGGAACTGCAGAAATAGCCTGAATCTCTTCTTCCCTTTACTGTGTCTCACTCAGCCACCACCCTAAGCACTGGGGCTACCTGTCAGCATCAGTCCTTTGCTGAGCCTGGCAGCACCTTTGGAATCTATGGCTCACTCTGAATTACATCCACATCTCATGCACTGCCCTGCACTGCTTTGCACCACACTTCCTTACTTCACTTCATCTGTCAGTGAATTAAAAGATGCATCTCAGCATTTTAATCTCTGCTGATGCAGCTTCAACCTTTCAACTAGAATTAGAACATTTTGACCCACCCCCCAAAAGCAGTGTAGAAAATTCATAAACTAATCTAAATTATTTTCTAACTTAAGCAAACTGTGTTTTATTATGGAAGATGGAAAAATTAAACTCTCTTTTACTTTCATTTGAGAGACAGCATCCTACAGAACACTGACATACTGCTCTGCCACTTCCAAAAAGAGCACCATTTCAACCTGCTCTGTTCTGCTGCTTTTCTAGAAATCAAATAAAATTATTTCAGTAAGAGAGGGAGCACATGCTGTCACAGTACATCTGAAAATAGTGTGTACACTGGCCAGCACTGAGAAGAGTGAGAGCTGAAATGCATTAGAGATTTTTCACTGCAAAAACTCCTTTGAAGGCATTTGCCAAGGAAAAAGTCTGAAAGCCTTTCCCTGACTTTCTGGAAGATTCTTACAATTGCATCAGCAGGCACACTTCTCCTGAAGGTTGCAGTCACAGGCTGGCCTTGCTTTTGGAACTATTCAATACCTTATCACAGTTGTCAGTGCAAGTGCCAGTGCTTATTAGTGGGACTCAGCCCTGGAAACACAGAGGATGAATTTTCTTCCCAGTAATGGCCCTCCCCAGGAGCCTTAGGGTGCAGACAAGTACACTGATTCGTACTGCCACCACTTTCTCAGTTTGAGGTGATCTCTCCTGTTCCCACATCAAACTCCAATTCTCTATATACTTGAAGAAGAGGGACAGGTTAAGCCTATAGTAACAAACACATGACTAAAAATTATGTGGGGGTTTTATGGTTCAAGTCTAATATAAAAACATCCTAGATTTGGACTTAATTTACAGAATAGGCAAGAATCTTAGAAATATACATGACCACATGGATATCGGTGAAGTTTTTTCTACTATGTCATCTTTGAATCTGCCACTTTGGATGACTATAAAATTAATTACTTTTTAAAATGCTGACTTTACACTTTCACCCAGTATATAATTCAATTATCATATCTGGTATGAAAATATCTAGGTATCTGCAGAATAAGCAAAGTATAATATGAAACCTGAATTAAAGTAAAACTCTCTTGTGGGGTAATAGATGTCTTTCCTTTTTAATATGATGGAGAAAAAAAATGGGGTTGACATGATGGTGTTCTAAAATCAGAAACATCAACACTGCATTATAAATTATTCTATCTCTCTTTGTACTTTATATTCATGTAGTCTTAAGCACTTGTGATTTCTCATCTCTAGGCATCCTGACTATACTTGAGAACCAGAATAAATGCAAACTCTGAAACCTTCTTAACCTTAAGATGAAGGAAATTCCATTAAATTCCTCATGACATTCTCTATCGTAATTTCAGCACATTTATGATAAGAATATGGAACTGTCTGTTTTCAATGACTCTTCAGCCTGCTATCTACTGGCTTGCCTATCTCTTTAATAGTGCTTTTTTTTCAGAGGATAATACTGACAGTTTCTGAAATGAAACTATCTCAGTTTTAAAAAAATATCCTCAGGCATTAAATACGAAGTACAACTATCTGTGTTTAGCTTAACATTGATTTATGTGATTAGATTTAATGTGCTAATTTATCACATTACAGTTATTTTATAAGCTGTGAATCTTCTTTCCAGAACACCTTGTTTCTATTTCTTGACGAAAATATTCCCTCTTTCATTTATCTAGATATGAGCACTATGTGACAATAAATTACACACCACAAGTTCCCACATACCAACAGACCCCTCACCTTCTGATACAGAAAGCTCTCTTACGATTAGATTTACAGAAATACATGGTAATTAGATATTAACAAATAAGGCAGGAACTTGGTTTTATGGGATTATGCTGAGCAGTACAACAAATCAGAGGATCCCAAGTATTTTGAGTATGCATTTCATACTTAACAAAATAATAATTTTCAGAAAAGGAATTCTACTGTTTATTATTTAGGCCAGATGTCTTAAAGCGCTTACTTGACTTAGGGTCACAAAGTCCTAATAAAAATCAGTATGTTTTAACATTATTTAATTGGTTCATTTCCAAGGTAATTATGAACTAAGGGATACAGACAAGCATCCAGTGGGATCTCCTAAATATCTAACTGTCCCTGTTTTCTACCTGTAAATATTTTCTCTCCCTGTGGAACAGAAAAAGGAGGGGAAAAGAGCAGTAGGTTAGTTATACCTCAAAAATGTCACCCTCCCTCAGAATAATTAAACTAGCTAAAATAAAAGAATACAACGTGAAAAGGCAGCAATATGGGATATTAAAAAAGAAAAGTAAATTAACCCTGCAATGAATTCCACATGATCTAGATGTGTGCAAACAATCAGGATATATGACATAACACTGATATCACATCACATCATATACAACATGATCCAAGAAGCCAGCACAGGTATTAGTCCTTTGAACTTATTCATAACACAATTTTTTTAGGGCAAAATAAATATAACTCTTGAAGATACAGAAATAGAAAAGCTGGAAGTTATGCAACTAAGACTCAAAGTGTACACTGAAGAATTATAGTTAAAAATTTAAAATAACCCAGTCAACCCCATAAGACTATGCTCCACCATATGCATAAACCCAGAGCATCTAACATATATTTTTGATTTAGAAATGCTGTCTCTAACCATTTGACACTGATATTTCATAAGGCTTCCTGGCTGCCAGCAATCACATCCATCTGTTATGCTGGCAGTGTGCTCAATCACAAGGTGTGTTGGATCTCTTCATTTTAGGCACCATTGCCAGAGAAATAGAAAACCCTTTGAACTGAGTGCAAATGCATTCAGAAAGTACCAGCTAAAGGCTTTTTGGATAGGGCAACAAACCTTGGGCAGAAAATAAAGAACAGAGGAAGGAAAGTAATAGATGTACAGAATGTAATAGCTCTAACAGCAGTCTTACCTTTGCTTGAACAAGTGAGCAAACATCAAAAAGAGTCATTACCAACCAACAAGTGTCATTTAAGTGATCCTTCCCATGAGACACATCTTGGAAGTCATAGCACTATCTTCTATTTCTTCCACAGATCTTAAAGATCACTTTCTGATTTCTCTTTTACATATGCGCATATATAGCTATATATACATATAAATACACATGCATTTACTAAACATATATATAGCAAATATTAATATTATACCAACAAAACAACAAAGACATGCATGCTATATGTACATATGCATATGTATATACACATACATAATTTTTACTGGCAAGCTCCCTGTGCTTCATTACAACTACTAAGGAGTAAAATCTACCTTGCTGTAAAGTCTTCTTGTTTTTCTCTGGGGGAGGAGGTAATCCCTCAATGCTTCTGCATAGCAAACACATTTTCCTGCACAGTTACAAGGGAGAAAAGCCACAAAAGAGAGTGTGGCTAATCCATTAAGACAAGTTCTGTATGTTCTAGAAAACCACTGCAGCTTCAACCTTGCTTCCTTTTGAAGGAGAATTAGGAAAATATCTTCACTTCGGCAACAGTTGTTCCAGCCATCATTTTCTTGCTCCTGACTAGTACGTGGGTTCAGAAGGATTTAAGCATGGCAATCTCACTGGAATTTGTGGGGCTTTTTTTCTCTGCAACTAGCAAGAGATCCTTAAAATAACTTCTCAGCTATAAAATGTAATATTTGCATGCCAAATAATTTTCAGATTATTTCCATTTATTCCAGCTGTGTCACTCCTCAAGGGCTCAGTAGAACAGTCTAAGAGACCATTTTGAAAAAAAGTTCTTACATTTTAGCTTCCTTTTTATTTATTCCTCTGCAGAGTCAGCCCTCCAAAAAGAGTAAATTCACAGGAACAAAGCTCAGTATTTTCACAGTCACTTGCAGATACTTGGGCTTTGCCTTCCAGAAAAGTGGTGACTGTGCATATGAGGAGAGCAAAGGAGCAGTGTTAGAACCCCTGCACTCAGCTCAGGAAGTGCTTTGCATTACCAGCTGTCACCAAGGGCTCAGCCCTGTGGGAAGGATCCTGTTCTGCCTGCTGCAATTCCCTCTCAGCTGTTTGGCCAGGGGCTGCACCAAGGAGCATCCTCATGCCAGCAACATTACAGTCTCCAGCAAGAACTGATCCAATTTGGCAAAAATGGCTTTATCTTTTAGCTGCCTGTGACCAGAACAGATGAAAACAGTGAGGTCCCTACACAGTCAATGCCTAAAGTGCCACTCCACAGTACTTAACTGCAACTACAGCACCAATGGGATGTTCAGACACAAGCTTGTCAAGGATTAGGAGATTTTTTTAGCAATGAAAAGTGCTTCATGGCATCAGCTACAGGAATTATTGGAGGAAACTACAATATATAGTATTGGATGTCAAAAAATGATAGTAAAATGTGAGAATATTGATCAAACCAGAAGAAAAATAATGGTCTGCAGTAGAACAGAATACTTTAGCTAAAATAGTGAAACTGTAATATATATTTCATTTTTAGTACTATTTTTGTAAGAGCAATTCCCTGAGGTTTCAATGAATTTCTGATACTTTGTCATTTCTACTTATTTGAAAGTATGTGCCACATAATCTTCACTCAAGAAGCCCAAAGTATGAAAGCTTCAGTTTACTCACCACAGAACAGTTCTTCATCTATAATTCTGCTGGTTTGTTGATGGCTGTCTTTGTGAACTTCAAATTATATTAGTCTCTTCTTAGGCTGGAGGAAGACAAAACAATTCACCTCTTGCAAATATATTCCTGATTTTTGAAGACAAAAATATGTACACTGCAATGCTCTAAGAAACAATACAGCACATCAAAATTAAATTCAGAACATGACTCCATCACTTTGACTACTGAAGCAATGTTTTCCAGCAACAAGATTGTTTTACAAATATTGTACATTAATGCCAATGTGAAATGATGTCAGAATCAAATCAAATTTCACATCAAATGATGTGAAATGTGTGGCTGTACAGTAAGACTGCAACTCAGAAAAAATTATCTGTTTTTCTGCAGTGTGACAGTGAGCAATGAGGACTGATAGTAACTGAGTGATAACAAATTTCCTCAGACTTCAGACCTTCCACCTGTCACATGCAGGGACACCAAGTTCTTTTTTTGTGTGTGTGTTTTCTTCTTAAAAACTGCTTTCCTTCCCTAATTATAAAAGACCAGCTTTCCACAAACATTTCTATAAATTTCAAGTTCAACTTAAATTCACTTATCAGATTCCTCTAATACTGCAAAATGGTAAATATCAGACAAATTCATAAAATAACAATTTCTAAACTGAGAATTTCTTCTTTTTCTTTCCTTTATTATTTTAAGCTTCTTTCACCTGTGGGAGATAAGCATATATCTGAATCACAGATTGACTGCTATATATATAGAGAATTTGATGTGGATAAACTGATTGAGTTGTCCCAGTTTCAATTTTAAGGATGATAATGGTTTTGGCTTCAGATCTTAAAACAGTAAACATTACAGTACAGGTCTAAAGTATCATAGCCTGCACTAGTATATTTTCAAGGCTTTCATCATAGAAATGGGAAAGAAAGTAGCCTTGTAAGTCAGTCAGGGCAATACATCCCACAATTAATTATTTGCTTTCTTCTTTATTACATGGACAGTTCAATGAGAAGTAAAAATCTCTCTTCTTCCCAATTTCCATTTTTTCTTTCCAGTAGACCTTTCAAAAGTTACTTGTAGCATTATCAAGCACATGAAGACCTACCCATCTCTAGTGATATTTGTGGAGCTGATTTAGCTCTGTTTCTGAGAGAACATCATCGTTTCACACTGAAAAAAGTCAACCAGGGAACTATTTCTCCCAGAGCTTTTCATACTATTCCTGCTATACCCCAGGCAAATTACATTCTTTGCAAAAGTAACTCATAGAATAATTTTCCCAGAAAGCAATCAATAAAAGCTCCCCTCATGCCCTTCCATCTCTCTTTGCTTTCCTGAGAAATAAAGCCACTAGGTGCACTGGCACCTTTGATAGATGATTTAAGTGATTTTTTCTGAACATATTCCCTCTCTCTAAGCATATAAGCTGCAAAACTGTTATTCTGCAGACCCTATATATCATTGAAGTAGGTTCAACCTTTCAGTAATCTTGGAAATACAGCAACTGAATTTAATCCTGAATGAAAGCAAACCAGTCCAGCTGGAAACCTAAAAACGTATGACCAAGTCACACTGAATGCTCAGAAAGAGAAAATAATTTTCACCAAAGTTCAATAATATTTTCTCTAAATTAATAATAGGAATTGCATTATTGTTACACAACAAATACAGATGCAACAAATCCCCTTCAAGCTTTAGGAGACTACATACACTTTGCTTACTTAGTTTACTAATTGTAGTACGTATTTTTAAAATATTCTACATTCATATTAAACTATAAACCTATGAATGATTTTAAAATAAGGCACAGATACATGTACAATAATTTCCTTAGCAGTATGTCAAAGTATATAATTGATCTATTTCTAATCCTAAATAGTGATAAAGCTTGCAATGGCAAGGAGTATTTTATCACTGGTTATAGATAATGTACATTTTTGTTCTAAAGCAAGAATATATTTAAACTTTTCCTACTCCTTGGCATAAAACTGCGATGATCTCAATTTAACTTAGACCTAATTCAAGTACAAGAAAAGCTAGTCTGGTTATGTAAGTCTTGGGATGAAACTGAACCTCAAATGAAACACTTGAAATGAAAATCAGCCCCCTGTACTTTCCTTTTTACTGGGCCTAGGAGCAATACAGTTGGAGCTCATCCACTCAATCACTTCTGATTTCCAGAGCTTTTTTCCCAGAGGGATGTTTAAATGAGATACCTAAATGTATTTTATGCCAAACAGTCCAAGTATTAACAGAACTGACTTTGGGTCTTATACCTAAGAATAATTACAGAAATCATGTCATCCGTCATGTGAAGAACCCAAAATAAAATGAGTTGTCACAAAGCATTGTGTCATGTCACCATACACATGCACACACACACATTTTATACACACAATATTGCAGCTGCTCATTTTCCCTCCTACAGAGACACTGTCTAAGGTGGCAGCTTTCCTTGGGGAATATGCTATCATTAGATTTCCCATTTGGGCCTTTTCCATGGAGAAAGATTTTTCCCTTACCAGATTAAGTCATGCTAATTTCAAACTGGAGGCAGTCACATCAAATTGATTTTTAAAAGCTAAAGAGAGGAAAAGAGATGTTTGGTATATGGTGTGAGAGGAAGCAGCAATGTAATACACACTCTCAAAATTGTCCTTGCATATTCTGTATTTCAGAAGCTCTTGAGATTTGCATTGCTCTCTTTACCTCATTGAACACTTCAGCTCCAGTGATTCCCACTCTCATATCCACTGTCAGAGCATCACGGGCAGCGCTAGATTTCTGTGTTGTAAGCAGGACTATGGCTCCTTGTTGAACTTATGCAGTAATTTCTTCCAACAAAACCAAGGCTCTTCCAGCAAAAAGCATAAATATTACAAATAATTAGAAAATATCTCTGACAATCAGAAAAATCACCTTAAGAGTTCCACTTCACTCATGGGAAAATGAAAAGGTCATCAGATGTCAGAAGTAGTTTATACTCCAGCAAAACAGTAATGCACTGTTTCCTATACATTCTAATTTTCCAATACGTTGCAAAATTCTGAATATAAATCTCATTACTGCCTTACAGAATCAACTAAAAGAAATCACACATTTGTAACAGCTGATTAGTAGACATTAGGATTCCTGGAAGCTTGGAAAAAAACCACTAATTCTTGCTGTGCAATAGCAACTAAAAGAGACACACCATTGTGTTCTAGTCTGTACAAGTGAACTAACAAGACACTGAAATGCTTAAGAATTGATTTTCGCAAAAATTGGAGGCAACTGTGTTTTAGTCTAGCTGCAGTTTACTCCATACGGTCAAAATTGGTACAGTTGACAAAATACATTTGTTCCTCAGAATTCCTCAACAGTAATTCTTTCTCTTCCATATTCCTTTGAATATTTTTTATTATTCCTCAGAAAATTCAATTTAATTAAGGCAGAAGCATTTAGAATTCCTAATTCAGATATTATGTGCTGCTTTCAAAAAGCTACTTGCATATGCTAAGTGGAATGCTAATAATAGGCCAGTACAACACAAAGTTTGCTTCAAACTTTCTGAGAAATTACTTTCTGGCAGTCTTGAGGAGAGCTATTAAATGTCAATTCAGTATCGCTTTTGATTTCCTTAGACCAGATTTAGCAGCTGAACTGAATGAAGCGAGGCACAAGGGAAGACATCCTCAATATAAGCTTCCCAGGCTTTTATGTTTAGATCAAAGGGTATTGATTTACAATTCTGAGGATGAAAACAGCGGTGAAGAAACCCAGGCAGCTTTAAGTAAAGCGCTGACATCAGTGACAGATCTGATTTTAGCTATAGTGCCATCAAATAAAAACAAGGCCAATGGCCTTGTCAGAAACATGATTTCCTTTCCCCACCCTACTTGTAACAGTGGTAACTATGGGAATGCAAAAAAAAGTAAAATGAAGCTATGCAGAGAAAAAAAAAACCAAAATTCAAAACCAGTTCAAAATTCAATTCAACCTTTTATATGTCCCATCTCAATCACAGAATAAATGCAATTGAGATGCTGGAGGACCACAGAAGAAACAGCGATAGGAATGAGTGCCAGAAGAAAAAGATCTCTGCAGTACAATATAGTGAGCCCTTACTCAAATCTAAACATAAACCCTTTGCTGTCTCAGCAATGAGAGGAACAGACACCCTTCCTACTACAGATGCAGTTCATAGCATCTGGGGCCATCCAGTACTAAAGGCTCTGCAGATCACATCTATGCTTGCTTTTGTTTCAGGATGAGGCATATTTTTAATCTTCTAGCCATTTTTAGTGTTAGCATTCATAAGGGTCATTTCAACATAAGGGAGAGGAAAAGCTTCTTGAAGTAACATGGATCATTTTTAACAGTGACTATTACTTTTACTATTCATATGGGTGTAAAGTCCTCCTTTTTGTTAGTCAGCTGATTTTCTGATTTTCTTTTTTAAACTGCATTAAGACAACAAAAAATTCATAATCCTAAATAAATTAATACTAAACAAGAAGAAAACATAGGATACCACAAGTTTTACAAGAGAGCTTCCATATGCTCAACCAGAATTCCAAAAGGAATGAAACAAGCTTGAGCCCTAAGATTCCTTAAAATACCAAGAGGAAATTAGCACATCTTTCATGGGGTTAATTCATTTTTCTCTCTGAGAAAAAGCAGAGGAAAGAGCAGTTCAGAAGCTACCAGCTCCAAGTAGTAACACGACTCATGACATACCAGCTCCCTTGCTGTGTTTTACAGTGCTCTCAGCAGCAGCAGTCCTGGTATTCTTAAAAAAAAAAAAAAAAAAAAAAAAAAGGCAAAACACAGCAGCATCTGCAAAGTTTGCCCTGGAAGGTGGCAGAAGAAGGTGCAAAGTGTAATGCTGAGCAGCACAGTGGGGGAGAAAGTGACTGCTCAACTGCCCTGCAATACAGCTTTGTTTTCAGAAATGGCACTTGGACAATAAATAGAATTTTATTTAATTTGCTGCACTCCATGCAATCCCTAAACCTGTGTGTCAAATTCTGCTTCGTGGAAGCAAGAAGAACTTCAGCAAAACAGTGTATTTCTTCACAAAACTAATACCAAATGGATATAGGAAGTTCATATAACTAAGCTCTGGAGTCCTTGGATGACAGTACTTCAGCTGGATGATCATACAGTAGCATTGTTTTTCCTATTCCTCCTAAAGACAACAAGAAAAGCATTTTTTTCTTGTTAATGTGTCTGAAAAAAACAGGTCTTTAATCAGGAAGTGTGTATGCTGATGCTGTTATACAAACAGCAAGGCAAAAAAAAAAAAGATTCCTTTTTCATCCACAGGAATATTGGTTTTAGAGGTCAGAGTAAGAGTATTTACTAAGAGTAACAAATTCATTAATGTCTTTGTTTCTAATCAATTCATATAAGCACATTTTCACTCCTTGAACTTTGCAGTCACTTGTCAGTTGGCCTTATGGAGAACCAATTAATTGATAATTATAAATTTAACCTGACCAAGCACAGCAGTTAACACAGACATCACCAGCTTTTTTATCTTTTTACAAAAGGTTCTCTTTTACTCAGTGGCATGGCTTCTTCTGCTTAAAAGAAAGAAGCAGCAGCCACAGAGATACCCTCTGGAGCAAACCTCTTATCAGTATTTCGCTGAACCTATTAGCAACAATAATGAATAATTTCTCAAGCTACAATGCCCCGCTCCAGTTTAAACCTCAGAGTACAAGAAAGCATCTCAATAGCTATCTAAGGGTGAAATGCATTATTGTCATAGACCAAAAAACTACTCTGCAGAGATAACATAGGCAGAGGCAGGATATCTGAATTGCCCCTGAAAATCCAGGGCAACAGAGCTGCTTTAGTCACTGAGCTCAACACCAGAGTCACTGTGTGACATGGCATGGCCCACACAGTGCTCCCAGACAGCTCTGTTGGCACTACATTGTTTTCCTTCATATAAAAGCCTTCTTCCTCATCAGCCATAGTGTCTCTTGCCCCCTTCATCCATTGAGCATAAAGACTTGTGACCAACCGCCTGTTTCAAGGCAAAATCACTCCACGCCTATCCTGGGATAGGATATAAAGAAATACAAAGAGCAATCTTAAGGAAAAAAAACTATCACAGAAAACATATTAAATATATAATGAGATCCAAGCTTCTAAAATTATATGGTTCCCTATCCTATTTGAAACATTTTAGGAAATTAAAAAGAAAGCATAATAGGTCATGGATAGGGCTCAGAAGATTTCAATTCAATCCCTCTCCTGTCACTGAATTTCCCTCAGCTTCTCTTTTGGCCTCAGAATGAATGCATCAGCTTAAACCAGGACTGTTTATACATACACTAGCAAAGGAGGAAGGCATATAAAGTAAGAGCAATGCACAGATGAAAGGGACATCAATAAACAAATCAATTTTCTCCCAAAATATTGCAGCATCAGCAACTATCCAACAATATTTAATGCATTGCTTTGTAAAAATGAATTACTACACTGTGCATTGTTAAAATATTCCATGTAATTACTTGGAGTTATCTGAACATCACTCTGCACAACTGACTTCAGAATAAAGTAGAGCTTGGTCTGATTCATGTGCAGACATGGGCAATAGAATTAACCCCTTAGGCAGGAAATAGGGAGTGGACAGAACAAGGAAAAAGTGGAATCAATAAAAAAGAGAAACTTTTCTGTTACAAACACAGTATCTTAGGTAAATTTTAAGCAACTTTTTAAAATGTATATGTTCTTTTTCCTAATACAGAAGAAAAGGGCCATGGATTATGAAAATTGTGTTAATCAAAGAGATTGTTTTTCTAAGTACTTTTGTATTGGAAGTGATATAAGAAGATCAAAAATACATAGAAAAGGATCTTTTCTTGTCCTTATCCATCAATTCTAATAAATTTCACAGTAATTTTTGTAAGCACAGTTACAATGACCAATTTTTTCATGGCACAGTCTCCCTCTAGAAAAATCAGAAATAAGAAACGTGAGGTGTTTCAGTAAATTTCCACTTTACAGCATTTACAGATTGTTTACAGCAGGAAGTGAGAAATGGGATTGATCAACGTTTTTAATCAGACCCTGTCATGGTGCATTGCTGCACTTGTTACAACAATGTTAGGTAACTATGCTATTAAACTAGGCATTGTTGCAATTCTATCATGTCAACATTATAGATTACAGATTATTCTCTTTGACAACATCACAGACACATAAAATGACACTTGTAATATCAAGCACAATCTATTTTACCTCAAAAAACAACTACTGTCCAAAAAGGGGCATCTGAAGAGAAATTTGCTTTGACGAATAAGGCATGACAGAAGCTCAGAGAGGTGTACAGCTGCTAAAAGTTAAATACTTAATATATTGCAATTGTATTGCAAGAATAACCTAATTCTTAAATGCACTTATTTATTTCACCTACTTAGGTCAATAAATAGGAAGTTTAAGCTCAGCATGATTAACAAAAAATAAACTGATAAAATACAATCACTATCTGCATTCTCTCACAAACAGTAAATATATAGCTATTTTCTTATTTATAATTTATAAAAAAGAAACACCAATGACTGGAAGATACTGTAGAAAATTCTTTTTGAAAGACACATATATTAGTCATTCCATGTCAAGATAATAATAACACCCATAAAATATTTAAATACACTAGTATCTATTGTAGAATAACATCCATAAATAGGATTGGCATTAAAATGACAAAAGAAAATGTAAAACAAAATAATTCATGCAAAGAATTTTAAATACTGTATTTGCCTAAAACTGCTACACTATGCAGATCACATGAAATTATTTCTTGTTTAAGCTACAAATCTAATGCCTAAATTACCTATAAACCATTAGCCTGAATAA